TAAGACCCAGACCCTTGTTGGCCGTAAGAAGCGGACTTGTCGCCATACCTTGATTTCAGCAAAAAACAATAAAGTTAACACAACCGAGACCAAAAACTCCAGTTGTTTTCATGCAAGGTGAGCAATTATCAACCACAAAGTGCAGTAGAGAACGGCATTTTTCAACTTGCACTAGTATTTCATTTCTTTCTTTCTTTTTTTTTTTTTACAAAAGAATTTTACATGCTTTATAACCTCATACCATATTGTTTCCTGATGCTCAAAATACTGTATAACTATTAGTAAAGTCTTATAATTGCTAATGTTACTACACATCCTTAACAGACAGTGTCGGTGAGAAATGTGGTGCACTGAATAATCAATATATCTGCGCCGCAAATCCTTAAATAATGGGATAATAATGGGATAATGATGGGATATTGGCATTAGCTTACCCAGATGACTCCTGTCCGTAGTTATTATAACTCTGTTGCTGAGACTGGCCATAACCATCTGTAAAAACAGAAATGACACAATAAGAAAATACACAAAATTGAGAACCACCCAATTTAGTTCTAAACAATCCTCTATTTAATTCACTGACTTACGACCTATCGTGCAGTAAACCATAGTTACTTCACAGAACCATCAACAGGAAGATTTTAGAAGGCATGTTGTCTTCATGAAAAACCTCAAAATTACAGTTTCTCTACCAGAAACTGGTCCACATAAAGTCAGTTCTTCAACAGTCTTTGAATTAATTATTGGTAATGTACTGTTTTAAAAAAAGGTAATTCAACAAATTTGACCAAATGTAAGCTTAAAATCATGATATTTCATCACCATAAACTTATTCTATGTCTCACTTTAAAATAATGACATGTTTGTACAAACCATATTCTGCAAAAAATAAAAAAAAATCTGCACAGCTCATTGCAACCTTTAAGCTTTTTGTATTTCAACGGTCACCAACAGCCACATGAAATATTTTTCAGGGACCTTTCAGCTAAACTGGACTGAACTGCAGGCTGCGCTTACACGGAGCAGAGTGGACAAAAGTGTGGAAACAAATTAAATACAAGTATTAAAACTTCTATGGTATGTACAAAAAGCTATTGTTTTTCCTAGACCTGTCAGTAAAATGCTAGAGGAGCAAAAAACACCCAAAGACTGTTGGGGTGTCAGAGGGTTCAACAACAGTAACAAGTACTGTTATATTATGTTCTCCCTTTCTTTATGGGGGACAGGTGTTTTATTCAAAGTCTTATTTATGCCTACTAAGAATACATCCGATGACAAATTCATGCTTTTCTGCATCCATGTGTGCAGCCAGCTCCTTTCATACTACAACGGGGCTGCGTTTGCCATGTGGCTGGTTGCATTGCCCCTCAAATTCAGCATAGAAAAAGACATGAGTGAACAGCAGCTAATTACACATTACCCCTGTAGCACTGAGTCACGAATTATTCCCAAGGTGTACCAAGTACAATGGCCAGACAGTGCACAGGATTTCAGGCGAAGTGAGGACTTCCCACTGGGCTCCACCGACACAAATCAAAGCACCTCTGAAGTCAGGCAGTGACCACTTCAATTACTACTCTTTTAACGATGAATTATAAAAAGGCACATGCGCAATGGGCCACTTGTGGTGCTGACGTACCACGCGGACTTGGATGGACGACGAATTTTAGGTCACACATAACCTTGCAGATGCAGAGAGCATTTATTGCTCTTAAATCCGTGTGGATACAAGCCCCTGCCTTGCTATAAATATAACAGCACACAATTTCTATCACAGATGGTGTGTCCCTTTGAGGCAATAACCTCAAACTAAGATTGACTCTTAGATGTTAATTTAAAATATTCAAGAGGCATCAAAGCAATGTATGGCACTACTTTAAAACACATCCATAAATGTTCTACCTTGCCCACTGCCTTGCTGTCCATAGCCACTGTAGCTCTGTCCGCCATAAGAGCCACTTCCATTTCCTTGCCCATAACCCTGTCAACAAGATAAATTAGTTGGACGGGTTAGAAATCAAAAAGTTCACATAGTTGTATCATACTTGCATCCAACATGTAGTTTGGAGAACGGCCTCACCTGTCCACCCGGCTGACCGCTGTATGATGGGTAGCTGCTGACACATGACACAAGCATTTAGTCTCCAGGTTCATTCAGAAAGCCATGTGGCTCGACTACAGCTTAAATAGTTACACATAAAACTACATATCTATACATATGAAGTTACAGTGACAGTTGCGTGCTGTGTGTTTGTACATTACCTTTGGGAACCGCCGTAGCCTGAATCTAAAAAAGAAACCAAACAATAATATAAAGCCAGTTAAAAATGTTGTCCATAAAATCCAGTGTTTGCTAAACAGTGTGCTACGGATGTGGGTGACAGCAACCAGCCGCATAGCGAAAGTAGGTTAATAAAGTAGGACATGTACAAGCTAAAAGGCCCGGTGCCAGGTCAAGCCACTGAAAATGGCGGTCAATTCAGCGCTGGCTATGACTAAATGTTGAAAACGTAGCAAGCAATCAGTCTTTAATACCGTTCACTGCCTGCAACGGTTGCTTTAGAGAAAAGTATGTAAATGTAAACTTGTTTCTACTATTGTTTCGGAAGAACTGATGGCGTAATGCTTCTAGTTAAGCAGGAGAAACAAAAGCGTCGGTGTAAACAAAGACGCATTCATGTTGGCTAGCATACAGCTAGAGCTAAGTTAGCTAAGTTAGCTAGCGGCGACAAGGCCCAGATCCGTCAGACATGCCCCCATATATTAGCATCACAATGAAACAATACATTATTGCGTCAAAGTGAACTAAACTATGCATTACTGAGAAACCGGTTATTTAAACACCCGACATAGATAACTTGGTGCTGCTAATGAATAGTATCTACGGTCCATAAAATAGACGGAGCCCCTGTTCTGGCCTCGCGGTTCGCAGCCAACTTAGCCGTTAGCTCCAATGCTAATCGGCCCACTTTTAATGATTTACACAATAATTTAACAAAGGGGCAGAGACCCAGGAGATACGTTGACTTACCAGTGGCCATTTTGTGGCGTTATGTGTATATACAGTTTAAAACCGATGAAATGTGTTTCTTCTGGTTAGCTGATAAAAACCCTGGATGAATGTACGCAGCGCCACCGGACTGAGCAGAACACGCTGCGGCACTTCCCTTAATGCGGCTTCTTCTTCTGCCTGCGGCTGCTGCACAGCTTTACCACACTACCGCCACCTATTGATCCACGATGTTCAAAAGAAAAAGTCTAATAAAACCTATAGAAGGTCTATAAAACCTCTTTCAGACGGGCGTTCTGTTCAAAACAACGGCTGAATATGTGAAGGCGAACCCTGGCCGCTTATAAAGTTCATCTGTGTCTCTGTTAATCTGCTGATGCGCATGTGCACTTGGCTCAGTGGAAGATTTACATTTAAATGTTATGCAGATATGTGGGAAAGTAAATGGCTTAATCATATTTAATGTACACATGATTGCTGCATTTTTAATGGTGCATGTGTGGGTTAATGATTCACAGAATAACTTTCTTAGTATGCAAGAACTTGAACACCACTGGACCAATATTTAGTTGATTGCTGTTGGGGAGAGATCCAGTCCCTGCAGCAAACATGAAAAACAAACCTTCCTTTAAATAATTACATTAGAATATCTTGTACACAAATGCCTTTGAGGGCTGCTCCAAAAGCTTCAGCTTGTGTTGTTCGTGATGGATTTTGGTGTTTGCTTTGAATTATAGTTGCGTTAAAGAGTCCATCTTCTGTTTACTTTCACTTGCCAGACTGATTGTATTTCATATGCAGCCAGAATTTGCTGTTATTTAATGGAATCCATTCTTGCCACTATTTGTGCTGTTTTCTGCATCACTGGCTAAAAAAGCCAGAATATTTCCACCCCATATGTTTAACTTCATCCATCTATAGAACTTGTTTCCAAAACCACACTCGCTTATCCAGACACTGACTTTTGCAATGGAGGTTGCAGGTAAGATTTCCTTCCGATGGCGCTTCCATAAACTCTGTGCTGCATACTGTAACTGTGCACCACTTTTGCATCAACTAAACCTTCCTGCAGCTTCTTTGCGGTCATATATAGCGATTGTACTTTGCTGTGCTTTCATTTTCAAGATTTCTTGGTCTTCCAGATCTTGACTTGATTTCCGCAGTTTCTCCTAAAGGGGAAACCGCAAGCTGGAAAGGCTTTGTTGTCTTTATCTTCATCATCAACTACAAAGTACACATTTTAACCTGCCTTACAAGTCCTAATTAATCAGTTTCCTATGTTCATGAAATAAAAGGTAACTGTGCTTTTCAAGAAAGGCTGGTTTTTAATGTCTGTTTGCTGAAGGGCCATCTATATGTACTTACCTTTCTTTTGTTTTTTAACATTTGCTTTGAGCAAAATAAAACCTTGGTCACAAAAGCATGTGCATAATATACATCACATAACTACGTTGGTGAACTGGGTAGAAGACAAAAACACCAGCTATCTTCCATCTGAGGGCTCGACAAAGAAGTGTTAAAGGCATTTTAAGAAATGACATATTTTCACTTGTTTTCCATCAACAGACAATAAGGGACGACTTGTTTTGTGACCCATCTTTATACATATTCTACAAAGAAAGCATGGGTCCACTTTTGGTCAATGGGCTTTTGACAGGTCTGTCATGATAGGAGCAGTTGTTAAATCTCTTTGCCTAATAAATACTATGAAAGACAGAGCTGAAAATGAATGCATGATGACAAACTGCAAATTACTGCGATTTCTATCTGCTTGAATTTACACATTGTAGACTATCCACTAAAGTACACTGTTCTGTCGTTTACAACACTATCATGTGTGGTTTTGGTACCTTGATCTTGTTTGCGCAAAGTAATTCAGATTTTGTGTGGAAGTTGTTGTACTCACTGTTTCACTACTGACTTTTGATGCAGCTAAATAAAACAAAAAACTGCTATTCATTCCCCCTTCCCCCACAAAATTAGACATCAATCCAACAAATTATTCCAATTTTATTCATTAAAAAAATGCATGCCTCCATAAAATCAAATAATTACATTATAAAGTGGAATAACAAAAAGTGACAGCGCTGGGTAAAGTGTCTCAGATGAGTTTGACTCGCTATCAAAATGTAAGCATGAAAGAAAAATAAACAGTATTAAGAAGACAGTAAACCATCAGGGTTGAAATGCTAACTTCATACATAAGGCAGTGTTAAACAAGGCACCGGCTGCACTTTAACTGGTTGGCTGACCTCCCTAAACTCCCCATATTCTTATAAAAGTAGTGATCTGACTGACAGATGCTAGAAACACACAAAATGTTGAGATATGTCTGCTCATCTTCTCTGTGTAGTGGTGCATATGAGATGGGGGCAAAAAGGGAAGAAAAAGTAAAACAGTAAAATCAGCCAGACGTGGCTGTCACTACTCCATAAAAAAAAACCAATAATCCTTTTGGATGCATATAAAATAAACAAGAGTTGTTTTTGGAGGCCAGATCTGGTTTCAAGTCCAACATTTCAAATGCTTTACCATTTTAAAAACCTTACAGGGTACCAACAGAAGTGAATTTTTACTACGTTTACAGGCAGGCTATTAATGAAGATAAAACACACATAATCTCACGTTCTTCCACATATGATCGTCCCCTTTGCATCACTTTTTGTGCCTCTCAAACAGTTACCATTACTGATTAAAACGAACAGCAACTAATGCATAAAAGGCAAACTCCCTTGTCAAAATACAAAGGTAAACATATAATTGTACCTATGAAGTCGCTTTGTTATATCAAACATTTACCTCACATAATTTTTACAGTTTTAAAAATATTTTATATACTTTAAGTACTTTTAAAAGCACGATGAGATCAGCTCAGAGCGAAACTAAAGTCAGCATCCTTTAATGTCACAAGCCTGACTGTTCATACTGCAGCAGGAACACACAACTCTCCTTTTGTTCACTTCGACAAATGATGCAATTCTATAATCTGCTGTGGTGTTACATCTACAAATCGGTATCTAATCGAAACACAGCTAATCAAAGTCAAGATGACTCTTTGCTGCCTTTGCATCCCGTTGTTCTGACTTGAAGTAAGCTTTCTTGATTAATGAATTCCGAGCCAGAGGATGCCTACTTATCATTTCAGCGTGCCCAGAGTTGCATTAAAGTTACCCTCATCCATTCATTCCGACTCTTTACAGTCGCTGCTAGCGAGAGTGAGTGACTGTTTGTTTGGCCTGACACCACGGCTCAAGTGAGGACCTCAGCAGACACATCACGGCGAATATAGAAGTAGGAAACACAGATTAAAACTACGGAATGGTTTTGAGGTAGAGTTTGCCTCATGATATTCTGCTACCTGTAGCTCATATGAACCAGGGTGAGTATGAACAAGTGTCTAATGTTTTTATATTCAGTCCTGAACAAGACAAAAAAAAATAGAAACTTTAAAACTACCACTTTAGTAGTAAAGAGTGAGGCTGGGTGTGGGGTCTCTTTAACTCCATACGTCTTGTGAGTAGCGTCCCTTGGTCATCAGTTTCTTGACATAATCTGTGGCCTGGGTGCGTGTCATGCCGCCCAGCTCTTCTGCGATCTCATGGAAAGCCGTCTGCACATCTTTAGCCATGTTCCTTGCATCCCTGCACAAAGAAATAGATCACTTTGCTTTATGTTTTTATTTTGCATATTTCTTGGTAATTTAACCCTCTGAATTCTAAAGGCCATCAGCAGATCTAAAGGCCTGCCGTCTTCACTAGACTGACAAAATAACATCATTTGTCAGAACCACAAACTGTAAAAACAGAGAGTTATCAGATTTTTAACTTTAACGACAGTCCTTGAACTCCTCTGTGTAAATGTCCTTTGTTCAGGAAAGTGAACCAAATATCAGCTTGATATGGTTATGCTTCGTCAACATTATTCTACACATTGTTTTAAAAGATTCACCAAATATAAAGTGTTTGTTTTAGCCAGATTGAGTAAAACACAAAAGATTCTGCACTCCCCTGTATAATCACAAAGCCATTAGTGACTAAGCTGTGAACAACAATCACATGATGAAAAATTTGAGCTTTTCAGCTCAACTGGGTTGAACTGTCGGCCATGTTTACATGGAGCAGGGAGGAGAAAAGTATGCAAGCAAATTAAAAAGGTAAATATTAAAATACGTAGGGTCAAATTGTTTAGCAAGTTCTGGTGATACCAAGAAGACATTTTTGAGTTCTCTTTAAGTCTAGCTGTGATTTTACTGTTTTCATTGAGGTGGCAGTACAAACTGACGCCACAGGAAGTAAAAATGTGACAGGAGCAAAAACATACCAAGAAACTGCTTGGAGTTCAGAGGGTTAGTAAAAAGATCATTTACCACTAAAGCACTAATATTCAACCTCAATTGTGATTTGTAAACTCAGATTTTAATCAACTCTCAGTATTTCACTAGGAGGCGCCAAAACAATTTGGGTTTTCCTTGAGTTCTTTCAACACTGTCTTCCAGCAGTGTACATTCCTGGTTCCTTTCAATCAAATTGCCATTATTATTATTTTTTTCAAATAATGAGCAACAAAAATTAAATTTTACAAAATTCCCTCACAGTATAAATACATTAACATAAAGGTTCAATGTTTCTGAATACATAGAATTTCACATTTTTTGTTGATCAAATGTGTAATTTACCCGCAGACGTAGATATGAGCATTGTCTGAGTGAACCAGCTTCCAGATGTTCTCCTTGTTTTGCTTCAGGTGATGCTGCACGTACACCTTGATTTTGGATAAAGAAAGACATTGTTCATGTGAGTCTATATATTAAGGGTAAATATGGTTAAAAGCTCAAACACCAAAAGAAACATATCTAGTTTATCAACATGTGCTGACAAATAATATGCAGTATTATACATCTGTTGCTCTTTGACTAGTATTTTCCTGTTGTTTTTTTTGTTTTTTTACCTAAGCTTCAAATGAAATGAAGCAACTGATATTAACTGCCACTAGAAAGTCCTGGAACTAAACAATGAAATCTACATTCTGCAAATGACTTTGCTTCAATATGTTTCTGCAAAAATCTCTTGCCAGCCAAGCAGCTTTTACAAACTGAAGCACTGTTCTATCTGAACCACAGCTGGTCAGCAGTTTGCAGCTCCAGCTGTCAGGGTGACAGTTGTACCTTTTGCTCCTGGTCTCTGGAGAAGGCAACATTAAGCTGTGTCAACACAGCGTTCTTCTCTGCTTCCTCCAGCTCCTCCTGATAGAGATAATCCTCATTCTTATGTCTGCAGCCAAAATACATCACTGTCTCTCCAACTTCCTTTCCTGTGAAGCAACAGGTCAGGACACAGCAATTCATTTAATGTGACAAATTTAAACAACATTTCTGAACATTTGTGCACTAACCAACTAGTGTAACATCTATGTACATGTCTAGAGGTAAATGAATGCTGACTCTCCAATGGGGAAATAATGAATTATTAGCCACATTGCCGAAAACAACACATGTTAATAAATTAAGATTTATTATTAGACTATTGATTCTCTGCATATATTTTTAATTGCTTTGGTTCTTAATGTTTACAGCTTTTCAAAACTTTCTATAGGACAGAAATGACAAACATGTTCACAGATTTTTTTATAGTGTATTTCTTTCCTCATATAATCAGTTGGTTGTGAAAATGTCAGACAAACACACACTGCACAGCACATATTGTCTACAAATACCTTGCTCTTTGAGCCAGCCTCTCTCCTGGATGAAGCCCATGAAAGGAGCGATTCCAGTCCCAGGCCCGATCATGATCACAGGGTTGGTGGCTTTGAAGGGCAGGCGGAACTGAGACTTGCGGATGTACATGGGAACAGTTGACTTGTGGCCGTTGTCAGTGACCAGTTTGTTTTTCAACCAGTTGGTTGCAACTCCCTTATTGACGCGGTTGGTCTTGGTCTTGTACTCCACCACGACGGCACAGATATGGATGCTGTTGGGGTGAACCTATACAACAGAGAAGAATTATGAGCATTTTGTTGGTCAGTATCAGTCCAAAACAGCAGCTATGAAAAAGGAATTGACAGGAAATGACAAATATCTCTTGAAAATTATGATTTTAGCAGCAAAGAAGGCAATCACCAGAAATTGGTTGAAATCTAATCGGCCTACAGCAGATAATTGGTTCAATATTATTACGGAAATCCATGAGATGGAAAGACTTATTTTCCTTCTTAAACTTAAAAAGGACCTTTATATGGCAAGGTTTAAGAAATCAACTTTAAGACAGGAAAAGAGGGATCAGCATGGTGGTGGTTCTCCTCATCTTCTTTAAATGTTTTTTTTTTTGTATTTATTTTTTTCCCCTTACATTCTGTATATTCTGTTTATATGTGTTACTGTCACCCCCACATCTCCACCCCCGTCTTCTAGCACTGGAGCTCTCTCTGTCGCTTACATTTGTAAAATGGACTCTTGTGAGTTGATATGGACTGGTAACTAATATATATATATATATATATATATATATATGTGTGTGTGTGTGTTTTTTTGTTGTTGTTTTATTTTCTGCAGAATAAAGAGAGAATTACCTTAGACGAGGAGGCGATGGAGTAGTAGCGAGCCTGGAGACGAGGCAACAGCTCACACAGGTGGTCAATAGGAGGCTTCAAAGAGGGCATATCCTCAAGTATATGGAGGATGTTTCTACAGGAGTCCAACACCCAGGTCTGGTACAATGACTGTAGAAAGGCAGAACAAACAGAAGTAAGTTTAAGAAGAAAGCTTAAAGTGGTTGATATAGGCCCAGTGAAGATTAGATAATGTAGAGAACTAGATAATGACTGAAGTTTGGGGTTAAGAGTTATTCAAACACTGCCACCAGTGAAACTTGACCACATGTCACTGACCTTGCCCTCGGGGGAGGAGGAGGCCATCTTGCGCATATTCTCCTGGTCTTTGGGGTCGGAGGCGTACTGTGCCAGCTCGTAGAGGACGTTGGTGCGAGGAGGATGGGTGATGTCCAGGTAGTGAGTGAGGGCTGTGCGGTAGGTGGTGGGGCAGGGGAAAGGATGTTTCTTGTTGGACTCCTCTATAACACAAAATAGCAAACAGATATTTTAGCCTTTCAGCAGTCACAGGTAATGGAAAATATGAAGGAAAAGCATCATCAAAACATACAGATAATATATTATTTGTTTATCTTCGTGCAACCTTGACAATAAGATAACTCAGTAAGTATTAACTGTTTCAACATATTTAACATATTAAAGTAGGGTAAAGTATGTATAAATATATTTCATGTCTGTTAAAAGCCATTTTTGATCAGAAATAATCAAATAAATATCTATCGAATAAGTGTTAAGCAAATCATGTTTGAAGGTTTTTTTATTTAATTCATTGTAATTTTGATATCAAACAGGAGCAGTCTTAATAATTACTTATGCAACCACAGAGTACATGTGATTATCTTCACAATCACAGGAAACGTATTCAATTAACAATAAAAGTCAACTATTTAGATTGCAACAATGTCATGTAATTGCGGCTGATACTGCAAGTAGATGGACAGATATCGAAGGAGGGTTTCGTGAGACTGTAGGCGAGAAGTCAATGTGCTTTGGTTGTCAATGTCATACCATCAAGGTTGTTGAGAGAGATAACCATGTCAAGGTCCACTCCAAGGATCTGTCCCAACTTGTTCACCAGCGCAGTGTCGTTTGTGGGGAAAACAGCCACGTGGTCTCCCGACTCATATCTGAAATCACAGATTTAGACTTTGATCTGTATTCATAAAGCAGAGCGTAAATCAGAGTTGGTCATCCAGTTGCATGACATCAGGGACATGAAAAAAGCTTTGTCCAGCAAATGCCTATCTATATCTGACCAGCCTTACCTGATCTTGGAGCCTGTTATGTCTAGTTCCAGGTGCATGAGATGTCTATCACCAGCTTTGTTGAGTCTGCGGTTAACGGTGACTGGAGCCAGGAAAGGGTTCTTTGAATCAAAGGGCCTAAAAATAAAAGAGTGACATTGAAACATGCAATTTCAAAAATGCTACACATGGCCATAAAATATACCAAAATTCATCTGAATAAAAACGACCAAGTTGTATTTCTTAGTAAATGAAATAGCAATATTTCTTTAAAAGAGATGTCAGACACGTGTTTCACGTGTCCACTAGGGGGTGCAAAGCTTCATTTTTACACAGTGACCTTTGGTAAACTTTGCAGTTATGACTGTAGATGACATGTGAGTGATGACGGATCAGGCAGCACTGTAACGATGAATGAGTTCTGGTAGGTAAGTGAGTCTCTGCTACAGTACTTACGGCTTTTGGACTTCAAAACTCTTCAGGCGGCCAATTTCTCCTGTGTACACTTTGTTCATGTTGATGTCGGTGTATTCCTTCAGCTCGTACTGCCGAATGCTGTGCGAAAGAACAGACTGAGGTTAGGCTCTTCATGCACTTTATACATTCAGAGGGGAAACCAAGTTAAGACAGAGAAGTGAAACATCTTTTTTTGAGGGACACTACAGGAAACAAAACAGGCAAAGGGGAAGACAATTTAAGATTAATAGAACCAACCAAAAAAGAAACCCCACAAATGATCAAATAATGCACAAAAATTGTCCATAAATGCACCTTGATTCATCTCCTAAGGCTTCGACTCCAAAGTGCTCGCAGACGGCCGGCCAGAACTGCTCTCTCCATGAAACAAAGTCCTCTTCCAGACTAAAAAACAAAAAGCAGACCGTTTTAATTAACACTGATTCAAAAAGTATGTTGCCTCACAAAGTTTTCTTCTACTTTCATGTGAAACCACTTAAGAAAAATAGCTCATAATGTTTCTTAGAAGACAAAATAGACGAGAATAATGATCTGTCCCTACTTCTGAAAATAACACATCTGCCTCTCAGGAAGTAACTTTTATTGCAGCCCACAACATCTGCTGGATGAAGAAAACATATTAAGGATTTCAACCGTTTTGTGGCCATAAGGGTCAAATGAAGGTGGCTTTACAGGACATGGGCCATGCTCAAAGCAAATGTTATGGCAATCTGTCAATTGAATTATGAGATAAGCTTGTGGGCAATGGTTAACAATCTACTTGTGAGTTGCTCGCGAGGTTCATACAACGTTCACAATGTAAAGGGTTAATCATCTGAGGGTGTGAATGTGCTCAGTAAGTTCCAAAGGCAACAAGCACCATCCTGGTTCAGCTGCTGACCATGTACTTACAGGATAACTGATTGTAAACCAACATGATGTAGTTTGTGCTGCACCACAGAAAACAGGGATCATTCCTTTGTTTTAGGCTCAGAGGATTAATTGGTCACTTACTTGCCATCATCATCTCCCAAACCAAGATCAAAGATGCGTTTGGCTCCCAGTTCTTCTAGCCTTTTGTCCACATATTTTCCCATTGCATTGTAGTGTTCGTATGTCTTATTGCCCAAAGAAAATACCTGGAGGCAGACAAGGGTACAATAATGAAGAGTTATCGATGCATGGCTTTGACAAAACCTTAGAACCCTAAAACCTGCAAGGAGGTTTGAAAGGTATGCTGTCTTTATTAAAAAAAACAAAAAACAGAGACAAGCACACACAAACATTACACCATTTATCAGAACCCAAAACTGTAAAATCAGAAAGAAATCATGTGTTATGTGCAGTTCTGTCAGGAAAATTAACCAAATTTAGCCTAAAACTACGATATTTTACCACTTTATGGTTTTACATGTCTCTTTTAACAGTTTGCTCCATATGCCATTAAAAAAATCTGCACTCCTCTGAGGAACTGAGAAGCCATTGAAGACAACTGCAGTCAATATTCACATAACAATGACTTTTAAGGTGAACTGCAGGCTGAGCAGAGAGAAGACTTGAATGGAAACACATTTGAGAGATTCAGAAGAAAATTTAACATACTTGATTAGTAAAATAAATGCAGCATGGCTTAAAACTGTTATACAAGCTGTTGGACGACACATTCAGCACAGTGAAATACGTTGATGTGCAGAGTAGTGTGAAAGACAACTAGTTGGTAAAAAAAAAAAAGTAAACAACAAAATAGCTTGCATTCGGAGACCCAATTTCTAAACAAGGTTGTGCTGTTTCCATTGAAGTGCAGAACTTTATACTGCTGTGAAAAATGAGCACATAATAAGTAAAAATGTGACAGGTTCAGAAGGTTAAGTTAGAAATAAGAATTCATAACAAAAATATTCTAAAATACTCTTATGTAAATAATAAATCCATCACTGCAGTTGTTTGACTGCTATTCTGTTTAGTTGAAAGATAAACTACAGGGGAAAGGACTTAACAATGTCTGAGAATTTAACTAGATTTCCCCTAATCAAGTTCCTCACTCAAATGAGGCCATGGACGCTGCACCCCAACAATGGCACAAAGACACACACGAACAGATAGATCACATGTGAGTCGGCACACAAAGCCCTTTCTTTCATGGCGCTCACAAAGCACGATGCAGCTCGTGCTAGTGAAGCCTGCTGTTGTATGTCAGTAAGACAGACATGCAAACTGACTGAATCGCAAAATAAACAGGCTGTGATGCTGCAGTAAAAACATCTGAATGTAACTACACGTGATTCATACCCTTCATCTTTGCTAGAGGAGCAATGCAAATCCACCCTGTTTATATCAGAAGTCCAAGCTAGCTATTCAAACATCTGAGTAGCATTACCTTATACTATCTTTAAAAACTAAAAGACCTTTCCGTCAGTATAGTGTAAGGGTGTAGTTAGGGAGCAAAACAAAAGCTATGCAGTAAATGTACACAATGACAAATCGTCACTTGTACATATTAAGTCTATGAGACCAGATGAGCTGATATGATTAACTGCTCAGAGCAAAAACACCTGTTGTAAATACTACACTCTATGCAATAATTAACAGTTTCAGGTTAGCAAATCTGAGAATGAGTTACTTTAATTGATCTTAAATGACAGAAAAATCAGTATTTGGGGAGAAGGTAAACAATTTATAAATGAAGGGATAGTAAGCTCAAGCACACACAGAACAGAAAACGCACAACAAAGTGTGGTCGGAGACATCATGTGCAATACGCATTTTGCTCTCAATGTCGGCAGCTTAGCACACTGTGGAACCCTAAACAACCTGTTTATGCATCAATAAACATCAATGCGTTTCCTATACAATAATCTTGAATTTGCAAGACTTTAGACCAGGGGTGTCCAATCCTGGTCCTCGACGGCCGCAATCCTGCATGTTTTAGATGCTTCCCTCTTCCAACACACCCGATTCAAATGATCAGCTCATCATCAAGCTCTGCAGAAGCCTGATAACGATCCTGATCATTTGAATCAGGTGTGTTGGAAGAGGGAAGCATCTAAAACATGCAGGATTACGGCCCTCGAGGACCAGGATTCGACACCCGTGCTTTAGACCAAACGTGAGCACAAAGACTTACAGTGTAGTTTAGTCCAGAGAGGTCTTCATCATCATTTTCCTGCAGCCAGTCATAGAAGTCCTGGGCGTTATCCGTGGGGTCTCCTTCGCCATAGGTTGCCATGCAAAATATGGCAAGGGAGTTGGTAATCTCAGACAGACGGGACAGCTCCCCCTGTAGCACAAAACATTCAGATCAGGAACAGTAAACACTGACAAACTGATCATTTTGACGAAATTTGTCTCCAGTATCTGAGTGCTGTTTCCTGCCTGCAAATGAGACAAAGTAATCAAAGTTTATTGTGCATGTCTCAGCTAATTCTCACAAAAGTACAACACAGTCTGGGATAAAACCTGAGGTCATAATATTGTGCACTTTGTATTATTGTGACTGAAATAGTGCGCACATTCTGATATGAGCATGTGGTGTACTCGCTTGCCTGAACGCGTTCTAGTTTAGCACACTGGATTCATAATTACGTTCACACGTACGTCGCTTTGGATAAAAGTGTCTGCTAAAAGAAATTGTGGAATTGTAGAATAATTATAAGAGAAGAGAAGTCCCTAGCAATATGTATTAGATTAAAATAAAAATGGCAAAAGTCTCAATAAAAAATGTAATTATTATCACTACTAAGATGTCCAGAGGTTGATTGCTTTGAATTTGCTACACACTGACATGTTCAGTCTTCAGCACAGCAATGATCTTGTTACTTTTTCATTCACTGGCAGCTTTAAGTATTAACAGCCAAAGAATAAAAAGGACTTCTGTTCACTTTAACTCTGTGGTTTGTATGTTGCTCCACTGATGCAAATTACCATGTCATACTCCTCTGGATCAGCAGCCATTCCTTTCATGCCGTAGCGCTGAGCGTCTTTGGAAAGTCTGTTTGCAAATTCTTCTGCTGTGCCAGTCTGGGAGCCGTAGAATACAATGATGTTCTTTCCCTGTCAACACAAGGACAGAAAATCATTTACAATGTGCATTTAAAAGCTTTCTCCCACAACTGCAATTAACAGCTAAGCTTTTAATCATGCCTAGTGTCTGTGTAGCTATTACATTGGGACAATTTCAGTGCACAACGCAATAAATCTATTGTAATTTACCCAAAATATATCCTGAATGTTTTCTTCCAAACCATGACATGCTACATTTGGAAACTACAGCACTTCTGCATGTGAGAGGGAGGCGATACTAATACAGCCCAAACTGTACAATGTAAACAAAAAGGCTGATACAACTTTGCTTGTTTGACGATAGTAACTAAGTAATACAAAACCAAAGACCTCTATTTGTACCTGTGTGCCGATTAACAAAAGTTTTATCCCTGGCTACAGTGTTGCTAAGATAATTCATGACAAAGACCAGCAGATGCGTATTTAAATAGCAGTGGGAGCAGAAATTCTTTTCTGCTACCATCATGGTATCTGAACCATTTGCTGCAAAACCACATGATTCAAAACCAAAGTCTTTTGTCAGTTCTGGCTTCAAAGTAGAGGACCATAAATGTCCAAACAGTGTTTTGAAATCTTGACATGGTCACATTAGCAGGGAGACAATTACAGTCACTATATGCGTCATACACCAAGCAAAAGAGGCAGAAAACTACATTTTAGCACCTCAATTGATGTTGATTTTGAGCTAGGGGTAAGGAAAAAATAACGCAATATAAAAAGGAGTTTGAGACAGCAATTAGTAAATACATCAGATATTTACGGGGAGACCAACATAAAGGTCAATCAACCAGAAAGGGCCCCGACATTCACACTATTCAACAAAGTATAGCTGCAAGTCCAAATGACTCACACTCCTCTTTTAAAATCGGTTTTTCATCCAGAATTAACACTTGGATAAACAAGCAACAAATGAAGAAATAAAAAAACCCACAACATTGCCATTGAAGCAAATCACTCACAGTTTTCTTCATTTTCTCGATGAAACTTGTCTCTCGTGCGGTGGGTGCTCTGGGGGGGGAAAAAAAAAAAAAGAAGCAGATTTGGGTCATTATTAAATTACAACACAATAAAACTGTAATTGGACACTATTTGGCAATGACCATGTTCACCAATATCCATTGTGGGAATTACTGTAGCTCTAAAATAAAATTGAAAAAAAAAGTTGTTTTTCCAAATAATAGTTAATTAAAAGTTTGGTGGTCAATATACTTTTGTGCAGCCAATATCATTTAAAGGTCTGTATACATACATTTCATGACATTATAACAAGCAGGACTCAACGATTTATGTATTTACCCTGATCACATCAGAAAATGTGGGCCTTTTTGTGATAGCTTTACAGACATTACTCGGAACAATAGTAGGACAGAATAAAAAGCTTAATTCTGTCTATTTAGTGACCACCAGTAAGTAAACCTGAGCTACAGCAGCCTTGAATGTTGTTCTGACTTGCAGTGCTGGGGGTCATGTTGAGACTCTGGATTATACATTTAACCAGAAAAAAAAAATAGTATTGGTTGGAACACACACGACACGTGAAGCTCACAGTGAGGCCTGAAAGATCAATAAAAAGGTCAACTCCAGAAGTGACCAGGCTTTACTAAGAAAAAACATCCAGGAGAATAATGATTAATGAGACAGGAGCATGCTTCAACAGACTCAATTGCTTAATGATCTTCTAGATCAGGGTAAGTGCGTTTTACTTATATAGCACCTTTAAGAGCAGACAACACTAAGTGCTTCGCAATAAAACGATTTAAAAAAGCAAACAAGAGAAAGAGCAACAGACATTAAATAAATACAACCAGATAATAACATGAGGCAAAAGAAAGGGAATAGAGAAGAACCGGGTATAAAGTCAGGGTGACTGTTTATTGCCTGATTGGGAAAGGGCCATAATAAAGTCATAGTAATAGGATCAAACTGATCAGAATTGTAAGTTGTGATTTAAGTCTTTAAATGTAGGGCACCAATTCTTGAGCAACTTAAACATTTTGTCTAGTCATTGCTACCATTATTCTGACAAAACTCCCAGAAACGGTAACTCAGCAGTCACATAAGCATTACTCATGCTGACTGTGTGTGAAAGCACATATAGGACGCAACTCTCAATAGTACAGAGGGGGAAGTGGTTGATCTGTAATCGCTATGGGTCAGACCTTGTGATAATTCAAAATCCTGGTCCAGACTCCCTCAAGGAAGTCATTAATGGATCGAAAGCGATCAAAACAACATGTACAAACACCGGTGAATAAAAAGGAACATAGGAAGCTAAATCTATTATTGAGGCAAATAAAAGGCAGCGCTGCTTCATTCAGCATCAAAGCTCTGAGTGCACAGCTGCAGTTCTGCCTGCACTGAAGAAGGAACAAAAGGCTGCGTAACTATCTTTAAGATATTCACTATTCAGGAGCACAGGACTGTAGCACAGCTATTGAGCGGCAGTATATTAAAACGCTAGATCTGACTTAACCTATATGAAGACAGGATTATAACACTTTTACGTCGTGTTGACAGATCAGGGTGGAAAGACGTACAGTGTTTTTTTTTTTTTTTTAATTTCTACAAATCATTTGTGAAGAGTATTTGAACTTTTTGCTTCACTGCGTGGTATTTTTCACTGTCTGCAGTTAATAAAAACAAACTCTACAAGATTGCTAATATATCAAGCAAGATTGCAGGCCAACAATAACAAGTATGACACTGCTTTGTGAGTCCCGAGTGGTGAGGAAAGGGTGGGAAATCCTTAGTGATGTATCACACCCGCTCTACGGTGAATTAGAGTTGTTAGCATCAGGACTGAGGTGCAGGGTACCACCACTGCAGACCAGCCGAGCCCTGAGATCCTTCATGCCTTCCAGTGAAGCTCTGTTAAACAAACCCGGATGATGTGAGGTTTGTCACTTGCATTTAGTTGTGTTTGATGGGTGGTGATGCTGCTGCAGAGCATTTTGTTGTTAAATGTCTGTGATTGTGACACATTTTCTGTTGTAACTGAATCTATCTGACACAAAGTGAACTTTTAAAGCAAATAAAAGCATGAAGGAGTATCAGAGTTCGTTTTTATCTCTACCACAGATTGAGTCGTAAAAAAATATGCCCTCTAGAAACCTTGAAGAGAAAAGCAGCGCGGGTCATGTGGGGTTGATGTCTAACACGCCGCAAAAATTGATGCCCATGGTTTATACAGATTGCTCTCTAAAGCAAAGTGTAAATTCCTGATCAAAATTTAAAACTTGCCTTTGCCCTCAGGCCAAAGCATTCCTGACAGCTTTAGCAGGATCTGCCTGAACGGCTATCAGCTCAGACCGTCTGCCTCACTGGCCCCAAACTCACTCAACGGGGAGGATTTCTGTGTACTTCATTAGACAACAGCCATGTTACCAGAGTTCAAAGCCTACACAGCGCAAGTCTCCTGAGCACATGTGAAACAAAAAAGCAGCTATATGCGTCACTTTTTACTAATTTCCTCAGCTTTACAAATACAAAATAATTGTTTATGACATTCCAATGATAGCTAATGAGGACATGCACAGACAGGATTTTAGTCAACTCCTTGGTCATTTCTCAGTCAGATAACTGATTGATAATATTGTTTAATCACAGTAGAATCTACAACTGAAAAGTAAAACTGATCACAGTTGATGACATGTCTAGTGTTTGGAACTTGTTGATACAGCCTGAAACCAAACATTACTGAGAGCAGAATCAGCTGTAAATCATGTGTTTTTCATGTTGGTTTCCCTAAAATAGGAACAAAGAAAATAAAAAAAGACTGTCTCTATGAACATTAACTCTTCACATCAGATTATAACAGAGGTGAAAATTTAAATGTAAAAGTCTCGGCTAGTAGCATGTTGGAACAAAGTATAATAATTAACGTTCAAAGGGCTTGCACTGCAAATCAACAAGTGTTGTTATCCAAGGTGATCTGATTTTCTAAAAAACATTTTCTCTCTCTTCTGCAATGGCGTTAGTCTCACTTTTTAAAAAAAGCATGCTCGTGTTCAGTTGCCCTTTGTATGATCTAGACTACAGTGTAAATCCAGTGTCCACTGTGTCAAAACAAAACTTTCCATTCATTCATCCATCCAGGAACTAGTCCTTTTTAAACAAGCACTCTGACTCAGTTCAGTCTTCCTCTGCAACACAAGCTCATTCAAACATAGAGGTGATCTTATGAGGCAACAATCAAAGCCACGTTTTTCCATTTTGGGACCTGACAAACTATTAAAAAACACAAATAAGAGAAATATCAAACATTACACTAAGTTTGTTTGATGATTAAAATTAAGCAAGGCTGCACATATGCGAGTGGCCAGTGTGGTCAATGCTTGAGGGGGAAAGGGACAAAAGAACAGAACATTCAATAATTAAATTGTGCTTGTAGTCAAACAGATTTTATCTCCATCTCTTACATAACCTCCTGGGAACATGGTTTTTGATAACACTATCTACCCTCTCTGGAAGACAGCAACTACACCTTGTGTGCAGAGCTCACAATGGAAACAAGCCACCAGTTCAGCACTTACTTATAAGATATGATTCAAAAACTTCCCCAGTGTGAACTGTGCTATTAAATCAAAGAGCAGGATTAGACTGGAAGTGGACGCAAATATTTGAGGAAATTTCATGCAAGCATCATTAAAACATATTTACTGTGCTTTGAAGCAGTAAATCAAATACTTGACTGACCTCTCAGCAGCATATCTCCTGTCCTCTGGCAGGGAGAAGACACAGCCCATGGCATGCAGCCCTGTAGCTCACACTGCCACTAGCACCACTGGCTAGGCCACGCCGGGAGCCGCCACGCTCAAAATCAAAAGCAGGACGTCAACACTCCACAGCCAAAGGATGGAAAAGTAATACCGGTCCAGAAAGGCAGAGAAACACTTGAAGAACAGCCTGCCGTCACCTTGGAGGCTCCAACGCGATCTGAACTCTGCCTCTTCCTGTGCTGCTCTCTCAAACCAGCAGCGTCTGCGCTCCACACAGAGCGCTCCAACACACACACATACACACACACAGCACAGCAGCCTACAAGCCCTGTCAGTGTCTGGCAACCGCTGAGAACACAATGGTGGGAAACTGACTTTCCCATAAAATGTAGCCGAGCTGCAGACCCACACTTTTGACTCACACAAACACACACTGAAATGATCTTGGGCTGAAAATGCCTTCCTCCTCATCCCCGCCCCTTTTCCTCTCCGCTCTGAAAGGTGTTACGAACGAAAAAGTCTACAAGATCCATTCTGAGAATTTGGCTAGTTATCAGAGCAACTCCTCTGTGGATCACTGAAGGGGGTTGAAGAGCTGTGAATGGTAGTTTTTTTCTGAAGTATCCCCTGCCCCCACCTCACTGGAGGAGAGAGGGGAATGTCATTGCTATGGCAACCTCATTTATCATAAAAGGATTCCATTTGTGACATGGCTCTACTCCAATGGCAGAGCAGCTCAGCCCGCACACACACACATACACACACACTCTAAAAAGAAAAACAGCAGAGTGGGGAAAGAAGAATGAAAAAAAAAGTAACTCAGGGCAAAGAAAGGGTTTCTTGTCTTTTGCCTCAACTTTCCACCTTTGGAGAGGGCTCACAAAAGGAACTTGGCTCGCCCTCCTCATTTGCTCTCCAGGGAACTTTCAAAATGGGTTCAGGGCCAAAAACAAAAGCACAGGAAAGACATGGAAGACTACGCCCCCTTCATAACAGTTAGGTAATCACTGCCCCTTTAAGGGGAGGGGAGACCAGCTTGGTGCTTGTGTTGCTCTGTGCTCCCTTCCTGTATCCCCACCCTCCACAGATACATACTCTTCCAAAGCAAAACATGTTCTCCAGGGGTCTTTCCCTCTCAAGCCAAGCTCCTGTTTTTGCACAAATGGCCAGGATCTCCCTCACAGAGCTCGTGTCCATTCACACAACCACACAGCAAGTGTGGCTGCTGCTGGCCATTGGCTCAGCTTTACTCTGGTGACCAAAAACATTGTGTTGTGGTTGGGGAGGGACTAAAAATGTAGCCAGTGCAAGGAGAGTTCACTGAAGTGAAGCCAAGCCTCCATCACTCCACCGATAAGTAGTCTTACACTGCTTTGCCAGACTACTCTGCAGCACATAATGGTCTGGCTGCACCTCATCATCGTTCTGCAATAAGGGGAAAAAACACTAAGCTTGTTTGTATTTCTTTAAACCAATCACGGTTATACTGGATTGGATTGCTTTCTGAGCTAAGCCAAGGATACATTGGGTTTCCTCAAAATAGTGACGAGGGAATTGTTTTGGTGAAACATTTGCAGGCAAGGAGGTGAGCACTGCCATTAAAATGATTAATTCATTGAGAAAAAAATTAGCAGGGCTGCCTTCCTGCATGATCCAAATCCTCAGCAAAACTTGAAATTTTCTGAGTGCTGTCCATAGATTGTTGTTTGCAGTAGTGAAAGGGATTCTGAAAACAGCAACATTTACATAATGGAAGAGGAGGAGAAAGCTGCATGAAATGTACAGCCAATGGCAAGCTTGTACTTGCCAGCAATCCAGTAAGTCCAATAAGCAATGAGGGGAGTGAACAGCGGGAGGGTGGGGTCACAATGCTTATATCTGGCATTAAAGCTGCTGTAGGCAGAAATCTTGAAAACGAGAAACGCCCTTGTGGTGTAGTTGCTGATACCTCTTTTCCACCAAGCTGGTCCCAGTGCTAGTTCGGAGCCAGAGCCTGACTTAGCACCAGTTCTTTGTGTTTCCACCACCACCTAAGCACCGGCTCCAGGTTCTAAAAACTGGTGCTTAGCAAGCACCAACTCTTTGCTGGGCCAGAGCTAAGAACCAAGTACGTCAGAGCTGGGGGCGGGGTTATCATGACCACCAAGACCAATGGAAACACAGAATGGGACACACAAGCGGTGATTTGTGACGTTTTTTCACCAGGACGTCCCTGGCACTGGCACCAGCACCTGGTTCTTCTCTGTGGAAAAGGGGTATGAGGTTGCCCATAGAGTGGTCAGTGTGGGCTCTTGTGGACTTGGAGGAGGTGCTGAAGTTTAGCTTCCACTCAGACCACGTAAATTACAATATGCTGAAAGATTAATGCGGAATTTTTGACTAAAGACAAAAGCGCCTCACTCCACTTTAACACGTATTTTGCATGATCCCATCACAAACGGACAGCTTTAGGTACAGCTATGAATATATCAAAGATACATTGAGGACGCATGCTTGTTCTCTCTGTAGACATCTCTGGATCTGGAGCTTCACATCTCTGATCTGCAGCTGCTGGCCTCACCGACCCCCAAAATATTTATTGTTCTGTTCTATTGCCTGCTCTGCATCCGCTGTCCTGCTATCCCCATCCCCCTCATCCCCACTCTCACCCCAACCGGTCGAGGCAGATAGCCGCATTTCCTGAGCCTGGTTCTGTCTGAATTGTTTTTTTCCTCCTCTCACTGGGTTTTTTTTGGTTCCTTCCCACCGTTGTCAACTGCTTGCTCAGAGGGAGTCCAAAGGCAACTTTGGATTGTTGGGTTCTCTGTTTAAATTCAGAAGGTCTTCACCTTACTATGTTAAGTGCTGTGAGATGACATATGTTGTAAACTGTGCTATATAAATACAATTGAATTTAAAAATTGAATTAAGATCTGATCGCTCACAGTACATTTGGACATGGTCTGAGCTGCATATGGCCACATTCTTTTAGCAGTGTACAGATAAACGTGTCCTTGATCACACTGAAAGACAAGCTACTCAAACAACAACAACCACTGGGTAAGTGGGTACATATCTATTTGAGCACCAGTGAAGGGATTTCTTCTACTTCTTTTAATTTCTGGCAGACTAGACACAGAGAGCCTCACATGGATTACAAACAATGTGATGTAAATGTGTGTTTGAATATAGAGGGAAAATGAGATTCAATCACAAGCAATCGCTCCAAAGACATTCTACTGAGTTATATGAACTGAACTTGAAGCTGTCCAGATGTGATCTTGATCACCCAAAACACAGATAGAGGGATCAGCTGAGTTCATGAGAGAAACTGTGTAAAAGGGGAGGGTGTGACTAAACAAAGGTCATTTCTAGTGAAACATTGACGAGAGCATTACACTGTGCACCCTCACACACTTGTGTCAAGGGCTTTAAACTGATAGTCAAATCAAAATCAAATAATTGTTATTGCTATTTTTGGACTGATTAAACACATGGATCCAGCTTCCTTTTTCTTTTCTCTGTTTTATGTCATTTTAAATTGAATAGACTGTTGGTGGTATAAAATAAGAAATCTAAAGAACTCAGGCTGAACTGCAGGAAATCATTACAGGCCTTTTTCCACTGTTTTTCACAACTTGCATCCTAAGCTTGATTATGCAAAGAATAAAGAATTTCACTGAGTTATAATTTATAAGTGAAGAATAGATGCTTCTTCGAGAAAAAAAAAAAGAAAGAAAAAAAAGAAATTAACAATCAACCTAAAAAATATTTTAATTAAGAAAAACTAACCCAGATTCTCCCCTACCTCCCATTTAGTCTTTTCATAACTCCAGACCCATATTTTATCGCTGTTTATACAAACAAGATATATGTACAAGAAAAAGTAGTTACTTAATTTCAAAGTTTGAAAAATTGAATATAATACGGCAATAACTACATTTTTAGATAAATTAGAAAACCAGTTTGAGGGTAATACCATATTCACACAGATGACTAATGCAGTCTTTAGTCCAACAAAAGAGTTAAGGTCATTTCTGCCTCATTAAGGTGACAAGGAGCTGAGATCAGCAGAGCTAATGGGAATTTATTTGCCCACATGGTACACATAACTAATTCTGGGGCCAAAGGTATATATAGCATCATGACTGTACAATTTACTATTCAAAAAATCATTGGTATGTCAAAGTAAGTACAGAGCCTCGTTGGAAGCTTTGTTCAGCAAAACCTCCTGCCTGCCAACATGTTACTGGATTAACAAGAAGCGCTACTGATGTGAAACAGATGCAAAGAGAGTACAGTTTAGAGAAAACGTAACTCAACCGATGACATAAGCCAAATTCATAACACCTGTGATTCTTAAAAGCAAACTGTGGATCCACAACTGATTCCCTTTACTGTTCAAGTATGCCTCCACATGTATGGTTGTGCGTGTACAACATAGTGGCCTGTAGCTAACATTTACAAATATGTTTAAGGTTTATTTACCAAATTTCAATGACTGCATGCAACCAAAAATAATGACAAGGTCTTTAAAGTATAACCATCACATGTTCTGACTGCATGGCAGCAAGGTGGGAAAATGAAGACTTTTTGAAGTCCCAAGTTGTAGTCATACTCATACACTCACACTAGTGCATGCAACACGTAAAAAACTTTTTTTATTTTATTTATTTATTTATTTTTTTAATTGAAAAATCAGTTTCTTCTCATTACAGTTTGAAGTTTAAGTGTTTCACTTTGTTTCTTAACCTGGCAGCAGTCTTCATTTTTCTTCATAGAGCAACATGGAATCTGACCTGATAAGAAACCTGCTAATCCAGACCTGACTGTCTGCTTGTAAAAATCCTAAATATTTACCCCAGTGTACCCTAAATGGATACTCACGGCGTGTCGAGCTTCTTGAATTCAGGGATGGGCTCAGGCTTCTTGCGGTTCATGAAAAAATAAAGGACAATGCCAGCCAATAGAGTGAAGAGGATGAGGTCCAGGCTGCTGAGGAGAGACTCCTCTTCCTCCATCATGTGCTCAGTGTGGGTTGTGCCTTCAGGGTCCATGTCTGCCATGTCGCCGCTCTATGCAAAGACAGAAACAACACAGTTAAAGTGGAAAAGTATTTGCCTCTTTCAGGTGATGACTGTATAGTAAATGTATTATTTATTATGTATTATCTGACTGTTCGTTAAACTAAATAAGCAGTTTGAGAAAAACAGTTGTGATTGTCAAGGACTAGCTTTTTTTTTTTTTTTTTTAATCATTCTACAGGCCAAAATATTAATTAGAAAAACACAGACTAGACATATTTACAATAATAACAGAAGCTGTTGGCACAGTGATTTGT